GTTATCGCAAAGAGTTAAAGAAGAAAGTAGTAGGTGTTACGGAGGAAACTCAGTATCATGCAATTCAACATTTTTGTCAGGGCAGGGGTTGGTTTCTAAGGTGACATTTATGACAGATCACTGTTTACTGCAGCACTACATGAATGATACGAATATGTCAGGTATTTCTTGTATCATAGTTGATGAGGTTCATGAGAGGAGCTTGAATACTGATCTCCTGTTGGCATGTTTAAAAGATTTACTTGGTCGAAGGTCTAGTTTACGACTTATTATAATGTCAGCAACAGTTGATGCCAATGTGTTGTCCGACTATTTTTATGGTTGTGGAATATTTTCTGTAACGGGGAGGAGCTTTCCTGTTGATGTTAGATATGTACCGTGTTTCAGCGAAGGAACTTCTAGTGATGCTTCCTATGTTTCTGATGTGCTGAGGGTAGCAGCAGATGTACACAGGAAAGAGAAAGAGGGGACAATTCTTGCCTTTTTGACTTCCCAGTTGGAAGTAGAATGGTGTTGTGAGAAGTTTATAGCACCTGGTGCAATTGCATTGCCATTGCATGGAAAACTTTCTTTTGAAGACCAATTTAATGTTTTCAAAAACTACCCTGGAAAAAGGAAAATTATATTTGCCACTAATCTGGCTGAGACATCACTGACAATTCCCGGGGTAAAGTATGTGATTGATTCTGGTATGGCTAAAGAAAGCAAATTTGAACCGGGAAGTGGCATGAATGTTCTCAAAGTTTGTATGATCAGCCAGAGTTCTGCTAATCAAAGAAGTGGCCGTGCTGGAAGAACTGAACCAGGAGTATGTTATAGACTTTACTCAGAATATGACTTTGAGGCTATGCCTCCTTGTCAGGAACCTGAGATCCGCAGAGTTCATCTTGGTGTTGCAGTTCTGAGGATTCTGGCTTTAGGCGTCAAGAATTTACAGGACTTTAAATTTATCGATGCACCTTCTTCTGAAGCTATTGACTTGGCTATCAGGAACCTTGTTCAGTTGGGAGCTGTTATGCAAAAGGATGATGTCTTTGAGTTAACTCAGGAAGGTCGGTGCTTGGTTAAGTTGGGTGTTGAGCCTAGGCTTGGTAAATTAATTCTTGGTTGTTGTGACCTTAACTTACGTATCGAGGGTCTTGTTCTTGCAGCTGTAATGGCAAATTCCAGTAGCATATTTTGTAGAGTTGGTAACGACGAAGAAAAGATCAGATCAGACTGCATTAAGGTGAAATTTTGTCATCGTGATGGTGACCTCTTTACCCTTCTCACTGTGTACAAGGAATGGGATTCCTTGTCTCGAGACAAGAGAAACACATGGTGCTGGGAAAACAGCATCAATGCAAAAACTATGAGGAGATGCCAAGACACGGTGATGGAATTGGAATCTTGCCTTAAACATGAACTCAACATGATAATTTCTGGTACCTGGCGTTGGGATCCACATGAATCAACTGGTTGTGATAAACATTTGAAAAAGGTTATACTATCTTCCCTTGCAGATAATGTTGCAATGTTCTCAGGTTATGATCAACTTGGTTATGAAGTGGCATTAACTGGGCAGCATGTTAGGCTGCATCCTTCGTGTTCATTGCTAGTATTCGGGGAGAAACCTAGTTGGGTAGTCTTTGGTGAAATTCTGTCAGTTTCTAATCAGTATTTGGTGTGCGTCACCTCCTTTGATTTCAACTCTCTGTCTACGCTTTATCCTCCTCCTTCGTTTGATGTATCTAAGATGGAAAGTCGAAAGCTTCAGCTGAAAATGTTGACTGGTTTTGGCATTACTGTCCTTAAAAGATTTTGTGGGAAGGGCAACAGTTATCTGCTTCATCTCGTATCACGTATTAGGGCAATTTGCAAGGATGAACTTATCAACATCAAAGTTGATTACTGTCAGAATGAGATTATGTTGTTTGCCGCTTCACATAACATGGATAGGGTTGAAAGCTTTGTAAATGATGCCTTGGAGCGTGAACAAAAATGGATGCGTAATGAATGCTTGGAGAAATGCTTATATCACAGTTCAGGCGTGTTGCCTCCTGTAGCATTGTTTGGAGCCGGTGCTGAGATCAAACATCTGGAGCTTCAAAAAAGGTGTTTGACTTTTGATGTATTTCATTCAAAACTGGACTCTGAAGATGATAAGGAGTTACTTAGTGAGCTTGAAAAGTCTATCTCTGGCAGTATATGTGCTATTCACAAGTTCACCAGCACTGGGCAGGAAAATGTTGACAAAGGAAAGGGGGTGAGGGTAACATTTCAAACTCCTGAAGCGGCTCAAAAAGCAGCTGAGCTAAACGAATCTGAATTTAATGGCTCCATACTGAAGGTTATTCCTTCGCAGGTAGGTGGTGATCATAAAATGTTTTCATTCCCCGCTGTTAGAGCTAAGGTTTATTGGCCTCGCAGGCTAAGCAAGGGGTTTGCAATTGTTAAATGCCACATGAATGACACCCATCCCATGATTGATGACTTTTCTAACCTTGAAGTTGGAGGAAAAGTAATTCGCTGTGAGATTAGCAAAAGGGACACAGATGCTATCATGATATATGGACTAAGCAAAGATCTTTCGGAGGCTGAAATTTTAAATGTGTTGAGGACTGCTACAAGTAGGCGAATCCTAGATTTTTTCCTGCTGAGAGGAGATGCTGTAGGAAATCCGTCATGTAGTTCTTGTGAAGAAGCACTCTTAAAAGAAATATCACCCTTTATGCCTAAGAGGTATTCCCACAATAGCTGCAGTGTTCAGGTTTTCGAGCCTGAGCCAAAGAATGTTTTCATGAGAGCTTTGATTACTTTTGACGGAAGATTACACTTGGAAGCGGCGAGAGCTTTAGAAGAATTAGAAGGGAAAGTACTGCCTGGGTTCCTTCCATGGCAAAAGATGAAGTGCCAGCAGTTATTTCATAGCTCTCTATCCTGTCCTGCCCCTGTCTATCTTGTGATCAAGAAGCAGCTGGATAGTTTACTCTCAAGTTTTATGCATCTAAATGGTACCGTTTCTTATCCAAGCTTATGTATTCTTTTGATCTTATATTTATCTGTGGTTGCAAGTATATTGGCATTTTCTTCTACTAGTTTGGTGTCACACCCTTTTTTTTCATTTTAATTCATCCTTCTTGCCTTGTTGGGATTTTTGTAGTTATATTTTTGGCTGTTTTATGAATATCCTGGAAACAAAATGTAACTGCTGCATTATGATAAAAACCATTCTGGAGAACTTGGTTCTTGCACTGACCGAGTCTTGTCATTCTTCTTAAAGCATATTAATTTTCATAATTATATGAGAATATTTACAATCTAATGCACTCTTCAGCTATATCTTGTCAATTATATTGTAATTTTGGTCACTCGTTTTATACTACCGATGGCTAAATCTAAGCACAATAGGTCTGTTTTCTTAGACATAGGTGGGTGTTTGACCGTCTTTTATTTTTGTGCTGTTTACAGGTGTAGAATGCAATTTGGATAGAAATTCTAATGGTTCCTACCGAGTGAAGATATCTGCCAATGCTACAAAAATTGTTGCAGACCTGAGAAGACGTGTGGAGGAGCTTGTGAAAGGGAAGATTATCGACCACGTCAGCCTTACGCCAGCAGTTTTACAGATTCTTTTCTCCAGAGATGGCATCATTCTAATGCACACACTCCAGCGAGAGACAGGAACCTATATTCTTTTTGACAGACGTAGCCTGAGTGTACAGGTCTTTGGTTCTTCAGACCAAGTTGGTGTGGTCGAGAAGAAATTGGTGGACTCCCTTTTAACCCTCCACGACAATAAGCTGCTTGAGGTCCGGCTTCAAGGTAATGCCTTGCCTCCTGAGTTGATGAAAGAGGTTGTTAACAGGTTTGGGCCAGACCTCCGGGGGCTCAAAGAGAAGGTCCCAGGGGCTGATTTTAGTCTAAATGTTCGCCGTCAAGTAATTTCCATCCATGGAAGCAAGGATGTGAAGCAGAAAGTTGAAGAGAGTATTTATGAGATTGTACAGATGTCAGGTAGTTCAACTCAGAGGTTTAAGAGTGATGTTGATTGCCCCATATGTATGTGTGAGATTGAAGATGAATACCGGCTTGAGGACTGCAGTCATTTATTTTGCCGCTCGTGTTTAGTGGAGCAGTGTGAGTCAACAATTAAAAACCAAGATAGTTTCCCAATGTTTTGTGCACACAAGGGTTGCAGGTCTCTTATTTTGTTCAGTGATCTGAAATCTCTATTACCAAGTGAGAAGCTGGAGGAGCTATTTAGATCTTCATTGGGGGCGTTTGTTGCGTCAAGTGGGGGCATCTACAGGTTTTGCCCGTCTCCCGACTGCTCTTCTGTGTATCAGGTAGCTGCTCCAGGAACAGACGGTGAACCATTTGTTTGTGGTGCATGTTATGCCGAGACATGTACTAGGTGCCATTTAGAACATCATCCATACCTTTCATGTGAGCAGTACCGAGAGTTCAAGGAAGACCCAGATTCATCGTTGAAGAAGTGGTGCAAAGGAAAAGAACATGTGAAGAGCTGCCCAGTTTGCAGGTATACAATTGAGAAGATAGATGGGTGCAACCATATAGAATGTCGGTGTGGGAAGCATATTTGTTGGGTCTGTTTGGAGTATTTTGGAACGAGTGACGAATGCTATACCCATTTGAGGACTATTCACCTGGCCATCATTTGAATATGAAGCGCTCATGATGTTTACTTATCGGTCGGCTTATATTATTGTTGCATGATATGAAATAGGTAACATAGACAGGGTATAGCAAGTAGTAGCTTCTTTTCTATTTATAGCTTCTTCCCAGCAGAGTTGCCGAGACATGTACAGGTGGTAGGGCTTTTCTCTGTGTAAACTGTAAAGCGCTTTTTCTATGTACGTGCTTTTAACCAGCTGAGTGAATTCTAGCCAAGCTTTTCGGTGTTCTCATCCAGTTTGGATAATTAAGAAATGAGGAGCTCTGATGAGATCATTGATCCAATTTTGTGCTTGATTTTAACCGTGACCTGGAAACGGATAGGAAACTCTAATAAGCTCTTGTATTTAGTAATTTTTAACCGTGCTAGGGTAAGTCGCTTAAGCGCGAGTGTACAGCTCTTGACCACTGATCTATGTAGGTCGACATTGCATCAATGGTTAGGTGTTGCTCCATTTGTTTATTCGGCAACTGCCCTTGGGACCATGGAGGAGTGCAAAGTGGGTCCTATACTCAATGGGACCACTAAATCAGAAACATATTATCCCAAAGAATCTCGTTCGAAATAGATCTGTGTTTTCAGTTTTCAAAGTGCTTGTTTATATGTATACACCTATATATTTTCCAGCACGAAAATGAAATTTCAGTACAAGAATCTGCATCCGAATGCGAATCCTACGCCGGCAATGCCGAAACAAAGCGCCAAAGCTACAACCCAAGTGATGCCATCCCCATCATCGTCTCCTTTCGATCTGCCACAACCACAACTTGCCTTATTATTGTCTTCCTCCGCCCAATGTGACTGCAACCTTGAAACTTGAAGCTCAAGCAACCTCACCCATTGCTTGTAAGCAAACAACTCTTTAGCCTCCACAAGCAAGGCATTAGAGAGACGGTCTTTTTCCTTCTCCAACCTCTCAGACTTGTTCTCCGCCTCTCTCGCCCTCGTCTGCGACAGCCTCAACGCCTTCAGCAGCTCCAGTTTCTCATTCTCGCCGTCAATTTGGTTACCATCCGTGTCACACTGATCATCCGTGTGATCATCATTATCGCGATCCGAGTTCACGCGGCAAACCCCTTTCATGGATGACACAACAGTTTGACCCGAACCCGTAAAGAGTTTCGAGGGTGGAGGAAGATCGCAGTTCTGTATGAGGTGTAAGCCAGCAGTCTTGTGAGAAACAGCAGTTAGACCCAGAAACATTTCGTTCCCGTCAACAGCTTTAGGATTCGACTTTGTGTTATTAGATATCCACCCAGCCATTGATGTGTGATTGATCAGAAATTGAAAACTGCTTAATTTGTTGAGGATTGAAAATGTAAACAAAAAGAAAATTAGAAGTTTGGTCGGTGTGGTGGTGGGGTGGTTGGGAAAGACAAGGATTGAGAGAGAGAGAGAGAGAGAGAGAGAGAGAGAGAGAGTAGTGTGCCCGCAAGAAATGGGGTGTTAGGAATTAGGATTTGGCAAAACAAAAGCTACGAGGATTGAATACAAACGTAATTGTTGGTCATTGCTTTTAGTACAAAGGTTGGGAAAATTCCTTGCTTGCTTTGCTTGTTTGATTAGCTTTACACAAAAACAATACGTTATACAATTTGGTGGTGGGGAGAGAGATTCCCCCACCTAGACAATCACTTTGCAACTTTAATTTTGTCTTAACTCCTCAATATAAAAGGGGATTATGAAAAATTCAATGCACCAAAATCACAACGCTTGTAATCAACCTTTTAACTAACATATCATAGACTTTTAGCCTGCTTTTTACAAGAGAAAAATTGTCTCTACAGAATGTCTGGTCTTTTTAAATTGAAACGATAGCAGTTTTACTACTACAAATATTTTGGCTATGTTAGGGCCTAAAAACATCACTTAAAAGCCCAATCATTGTGTAAGTGTCACAAACCGAGCTTAAATCTATGTATAAAGTACGAAATGAAGGGTATGCATATTTACGATCATGTCATGCCAATAAAATATTAGTCTATTAGACGCCCAGCTCATACAACTCATGTATATTTATCGTGCTAAGCTGTATTGTAATATTAATACATTAATTTGAGTCACGCAAGGCAGGCGACATACTTAAATGAGCTCAAGCCACTTAAACGGGCTTGCCGAGTGCTTAGGAAAGACAAAGCATTGTGTTGTTGTGATGGAATGTCAATGACAAACTGGAAAGTCCAGCAACTTAGGGGCTCCCTACCTTAACAGACTTTTGATGCACAAGCTGCCAAAAAGAATTGAAAGATAAGATTTTTCTCTCAAATTTTATTTCACCTATATTTTCTTTCAAACAAACTATGCATAAAGATCATCTACCCTCTTCTATGGGTTTATGCTTTAGATGTCTACCCTCAAGCAAAATGACTTTCGTGACGAGTCCTTTCAGTGGCCTCAGAACTCATGGTATTTAGTGTTGAAAAATTCTAAAGCAAGTTCCCAGATTGAGTTGCATATTTAGCAACTCGGGGGCTCTATGCCTATAAAGAAAAAAAAGATTCATAATGCCCAGTTCACTTTTCCACAGCAAGATCCCAGGACATTATCATCCACGGTTCCTTTGTCATTTTTCGTTCACATGCTTCAGGTTTCTTTTCGAGACATCGACACCACCATGCCACTGTCCATGCTCGATATTCCCGTGACATCGCTAGAGTCCAGGCCAGCTCTACTAGAACCTCTGCCTACTACGTTCCACCATCCAATTTGGATGAGCATGATTACTTGGTGCTTACAATTTATAATGCCCGTGCTAGCATAATAACTTTTTATTAGCATGCACCGCTAAATCGCAGAACCAGATTGAGTATCAAGATTTTTTTTTGGGGGGGGGGGTTGGGGGGAACATCACTGGTGAGCATTAATGGTGCATATGTATGCCGGAAAGGAATCCACAAACAACTCATAATAATTGTGGAACTATGAGGTATTGGAATTTTTGGGTCGCCGGGCCCGTTCCACTCTTATGACACTGATACTGTCTTCAACTACCACTTGCCCAATCCGTCAGATGTGAGATTTTACCACTACAGGCCTCGGTATTAGTTAGAGTAGGGTAATACTATTTAAGCCCCTTGGTTTCTTTTCACACCACCGATGTGGAACTTTAACACTATCCCTCATGTGTAATCTCATTTAGTGGTTCACACGTGGAAATCCACATTGGTAATTGAAACTCAGAGGTCAGCTCACATTGGGCCCACTTGTTGTCAATTGACTCAGCGGTCGTCTCTATATTAAGAGTTTAGACTTGTTTTCTTATGAGTAACAAGCTCGTTGGTTTGCACACAAGCTCATTGGCTTGCACGGGCCCGAATCGTGGGCTTTGATACCATGTTGGAATTTTTTGGATCTCCGGGTTTGCCCCACTCTAACAACACCGATATTGTACCCAACTTAACCACCTGCCAAATCCGTCAGGTGTGAGATTTTACCACAAAAGACCTCGGTATTAGTTAGAGTAGGGTAATACTATTTAAACCCCTTGGTTTCTTTTCACCCCACCGATGTGGGACTTTAATACTCCCCCTCACGTGTAACCTCATTTAGTGGTTCACACGTGGAGATCCATATCGGTAATTGAAACTCAGAGGTCAACTCACATTGGACCCATTTGTTTTCAATGGAACTCAACGGTCGTCTCTATATTAAGAGTTCAGACTTGTTTCCTTATGGGTGACAAGCTCGTTGGCTTACACACAAGCTCATTGGCTTGCATGGGGCCGAACTGCTCTGATACCATGTTGGAATTTTGGATTGCCGGTCCTGTCCCACTCTAACAACACTGATATTGTCTCCAACTTTACCACCTACCCAATCCGTCAGGTGTGGGGTTTTACCTCAGAAGGCCTCGGTATTAGTTAGAGTAGGGTCATCCTATTTAAACCCTTGGTTTCTTTTCACCCCACCGATGTGGGACTTTAACACTCCCCCTCACGTGTAACCTCATTTAATACCAAGTCCTTTGTGGTAAAACTTCACACCTAACGGATTGGGAGTGTCGGTGTCGTTAGAGTAGAGCGGACTCGACGATCAAAAAATCCAACATGAGGGACATGGGGGATAATTTTTCCATCCCCTTCTGTACTAGCCTACAAGCAAAATGTCATGCTCATCTACCATCAATCATGAAAGCCAAGCAAACTCTGCTAATTTATCATAGTTAAGCACAGAGGCATCAGAAAGAGGAGGAACAACCACAACGATTGCAACCTTGAACTCAAGCCACCATGCCATTGTCAAAGTTGTCATGCAGGGCACCTCTCATGCAGTCATAACATCCATATCACTGCTACCAACGCCTCCCTTGAGCTCAGCTCCTTACAGAAGATAAGCACTCTTTTTAACCCATGCTATTTTTTGTATATTGCTTTTCTATTCCTTAAATCAATTAGAAAGTGAAATGCATATTTTATAAACTCCCGGTATCACACTTATACCATGCCAAGTGATAATTTTGATATTTACATATTACTCATGCATATGTGTCATAGGAATAGGGATGAACTAAATACTTATGGGTTTAGGTAACCACGGTTACCCATCTATTTAAAGTTCACGGTTACAGTTATAGATAACCGTTTAGACGAACAAACGGTTATGGGTATAACTGTTTATCCGTGAAATTTAAATGGACGATTATGAATATTACACGCTGTTATAACGGATATCAATTTACCCATTTAATTTAATATATGCAAAATTTTGGAGCTTTGAATTTTTTGCGGTTATAACGGGTATATTTACAAAATAATCAATGCACACATGATTATTGTGTGTTTGGACTAATGAAATGAAATGGTTTAAGTTGCCATTGATGTTTTAGTTGCCATTGATGCTATTAGGAACGGGGAATGAAATGGTTATTGTGTGTTTACGAATCATGTTTCAACTTCTAAAAATGCTTATAAGGGAGTACTAACCGATCTTCCCAAGCCTGGAGGTGGCGGTTATAACAGGTATCCATCGGAATATTTTGGAGCTTTGAATCATCTAGTATTCAAGATAATGACTACGTTTTGTTTTTAGAAGCTTTACTTTGTAATCATATGGATTATAATTAAAGACTTGCTTGGGTGTAGCAGGAAAATATCGTTCGTAAACTATTATTTCAATTATTGGAATTGTATAAGGACTTAAATGATTAAAATAGGGAAATGCATGCTAAAATGTACCTATAACGGTGTTTAATTGTCCGAAAACGAAGAAAAAAAATTTCTTCTGTAATTTTCAAGTTGTTAAAAAAAATACATGTAGACGGGTGAAAAAATAGGTAAATGGGTAAAAAAAGGATAAACGGGTTTAAAAAAGGGGTAAACAGGTAAATAGTTAAGGTTAAATAGGCAAACGGTTATGGTTAAATGGGTATACGGTTATAGGTATGGTTAGCCGTTTATAAACGGTTATAAGTATGAGTATAACCATTTATGCAATTATCCAACGGATAAACGGTTATGCGAGTATGAACATAAACGATTATAGGTAAATAACCGCAGTTACTTGCCCGCCGTAACCGTTGCCCATCCTACTTAGGAATCTTTGTGTCTCAAGACTTTCCATTTACCATTGCCAGCATATAGAAAATGCATGAACTTTGGATAGCTACATAAATATTCTTCGCACACCTATGCATATATGTAAGAACCAAGCATGTTTTTAAACTAAAAAATTTAACGTGATAAATTTCGTTAGAGTTCAAATGACATGTGACACTTCTTGGCTTTATGATGTGTTCAACAACTATATTTTTCTTACTTCACTTTTTTAATACAAGCGTACATGCCAAGAACGAAACTTTTTTGGCAAGCCGCACACTATTTGGCACTAGCCAACATGCATCATTTTATTTTTTACACTATGCTATACACGTGCATATCGATTATATAGGTCAAACTAGAAATTACGCCCACGCGTTGCTGCGGAAACCAACTGTTTCAAGCGTAATCGGATGAATAAAACACATTTAAGTTGAATAAATTCAACACAATTATGAACAAACAAAAGGATACATGAGTGAACGAGGTCGATAAGTTAAGCAATTGTGCTTTTATATACATTCAAGTGAGCTGGCATGTACAATGAGTGGGAAAAAACTGAATGTCTTTGATTATAAAGAGATGGTTTCCAAAAAAAGTTTTGTTTCGTTAAGAAACAGAAGAAACATGTAGTTCACACATAATAATATGTGTCCTACAGTGTAGGCCACCATTTCAACAGGTAATTAAAAATAGAAAGTGTTGAGGACTTGTTCAAGTAGCTAATTTTGTAACCACAGATGTTCAAAGGTAAAAATAAGCAAGTCTGTTTCCATATGAAACTGAAGAAACATAAGCAAGCTGTAGTTTACACATATTTTGCCCCTGCAGTTAAGATGGTAAAATATATGCCCTGCAGCCTACATACCTCACTTAGCAGTTTGCAAAACACAGAAAAAATGGTGTTTGAGCAGGTAAGTCGTCAAGCACAGATGTTCAGCATGGTGTGCAGCATTCGATCACGGAGAGCGTGGCTGTTCACTTTTTTTGAGACCGGAATCTTTG